ATAGATTAAAATATTTCTCAGATCAAACAGTTAAAATGTAAGTCCTCCTTAAAAAACTAAGTAGTCACTTTACACATTAACACTTAGAACTGTATTTATTATGTATTTATTATGTATTATGTGTAATAACTTGTCTATCATTTTAAAACTCCTGCTGTTTCTTTGCATTGTGTGACCTTTTAATGAAGAATCCTCATATTTCCACTGACCGCTCAACCTTTATGATTTTACATAATCTTTTTCATCTACAAAACATATTTTAATTCATGATTCAGGTTAGAAGGCAAAGGTTTTTATATCATCCCATAAGAATCTTTGTATATGGTGGATTGTGCTGTATAATTAAGCCTATATTTTATGTGAAATCATATTAAAATTTGTCTGCTTCCACATGCTGACTCAGTACACAGCAGAAAACTCTAGTGTAGGTCAGCAACCTACAAGTACGCTGACCTCCAGATGTTTGTGGACACATTTATTTATGTTTTTAATAAATGAGCTTGTGTTTCATTGTTGGAACAGCTTAACATACAGTGTTAAAGAAACTGGGGTAATTTTATATGAAAACAGTAATACAGTATAAATATCTGTTACTATTATTAAAAACAATTTTATGTTCAAACATTCATTAAAAAAAACTCTCTTTTAGCTACCACAACTACTTTATTATTATTAATCAGTAGCAGTTTACAGGTTGATATTAAATTGTTAATGATATGGTAACAAGTTGTACTATCCTAAACATTTTAAGCTAAAAATCTAGTTATTACTAAGTAATAAGTTAGTAATGAAAGTGCAACAAGTTGGTAATAAAATGGTAAAGTAACAGTAACAGGTTGTACTAACATTAAAAACATGTAAATGTTCTAGTTGTTAATGAATAATAAGTAAGTTGTAACTAGTTGCTAATAAAATGGAAAATTAAAGGTTTTACACAAACATAAATCTGCTGTCAGACAAAAATCTCATATCTCCATTTTTGTCATTTTCCAGTGTTTGACATAATTTGAAAATACCTGTTGTTCTTTACATTGTGTGTAAACTTTATGATGAATGGACCAAAAGAAACGGCCCAAAATTACTTGGGGAAAAAAGTCTGGTTCCTTTAACTTACATTAAAAGTAAAGTGTGTTTTTTCCTTCTCCTATAAAGTTACCATTTTGAAGATACCAGGTTTTGTTGACAATGGCGAAATGTTAAACATTCATTTTCCAGTTTATACAAAATATTTTTAATATTTTAAATCCTTACAGAAGTTTATAATATGAGGGCGATTACCACAAAAATGGTGCAGTAGTTCTGCTAAGATGATGTAGTATTAGTGCTGTAAATGACTCATTCACTTTTTTATTTTTTACCTGTTATATATTTAAATGGTGATGATGTGATGTAATTACAGGTCATAATAACAGTGAAAGTAACAGTAATGGAGCTGTGATGCAAACTTCCTTCTGTCTTGCTTTCATTATTTTACAATTTTATTACTAACCTGTCATCGTTACAATTAATAACTCATTATTTAGTAACACCTTGAAAATTAGCATGACTTTGTTTAAAATTCAATCTGTTCCATAATATTTCCACATCATTACCCAGTTATTACTGCTCTATAAATTAAAACCAACCTGCCACACAATCCAGTTTAACACATATAACAAAATAGTGGAGCTGTGATAAAACATTTCTGATATGTATTTCTTACTTGATTACATTTTTCCACAGAAGACAAAGTGTCCCCAAACTTCTGATGGTCAGTGTGTGAAAAGTTCAGCAGAACCATGAATAAAAGTGACCGTGTAATAATGAATTACTCAAAGCTGGGAGACTAAATCATACAGAAGCTGAATCAAAGTACTATGTTGGTCTTACTGCCGAATACTGGACACACGTCTCCACCTCTTCATTCTGTCCTCCTGATCTCTTCATTTTCTTTTTGGAGAACTGTAGAGCGACGAATTTCACCAAGTCACAGTCCTGTTCATGAGATTATAGAGAACACACAGAAACAATGCACTGTTACTCATCTTAAACTGTTTAATAGAGAAATACATGATAAATAAGCAGCATGTTTACATATAATATCAACAGACACTGAATTTTCTAATTCTAATTCAATGTCTCGTGGTGTTTATCTTGTAATTTAATCTTCTTCATTTTCTTCTGATTCTAATTAAGTGCTAATGATCTTTTCTATAACTATTTTTTATCACCTGTCTGTACAGCACTTTGAGCTGCCACCAGCATGAAAAGTGCTATATAAATAAAATTATTATTATTATTATTATTATTATTATTATTATGATTGATGAATGATGCCCTTAAATTCATTCAGTCATAGGTATCAAGTAAATATAACCTCTACAGAGGATACACTTCTGCACATTTTACTACACAACTACTGTAGATTTACTGAATTTAACATACTAGAAAAAAACAAAACAAAACATAAAATGTGGACTGTGGGAATATTATAGCAAATTGCTGTTGTCGAAACAAAACCTTATATCTCCAAAATGGTAACTTTACAGGAGAAGGAAAAAACCTACTTTACTTTTAATGAAAGTCAATGGAACCAGAGTTTTTTCCAAGTCATTTTGCACCATTTAAATGAGATGCAAATAGGAGGTTTTCTTCTAAAAGCAGCGAAATATTATATTTTATGTCTTTTTTTAACATGTTTAATTCAGTTAATAAACAGTAATTGTGTGATAAAATATGCAGAAGTGTGTTCTCTGTGGAGGACATGTTTATATTTATTTACACTTGGAAAATCAACAACAATGTGGAATTTAATATGACTTTACAAAACCCAACAGGAATCAGGAATCATATAAAGACCCAAAAGTCCAGACGTCTTTGTTTATTTGTTGCTAATGATGAAACCAAAACTCTTTCATTGTGGCCTGTGATTTATAATGAGTTTTGAGAATGTATGAACACTGTGAAAGAGGCAGATAATAACTTTAGGAATATGCATTCAGGCAGAACTGACCCAGGCTACTTAATTATTCGCTTAATTTTTTCAATAAATATGAATTCGCTACATAAAGCAACGTTTTCACTATTACCTCTTTCTCTTGTTCCACTGTAGATCCAGCGTCTGTAATAGAGAATTGTAAGAACTTAGTTAGCTGTGCATGAACAAGTGATCAAAAAGTCCTGATGTTGTAGGAGCATCAAGTAGATGACATTTTAATAGTAAATGTGTTTAATATGTCCTTTAAGTCTATTTAAAGTGTCAGCAGTACCATCTCTGCACTGTTTCCTGCCCTTCAGAATGATGATAAGAGCACTGAGGAGAATCATCGTCACAGCACTGAAGACCACAGTCAGCATGAAGAAGAGATCTGAAGAGGAGGAAAATGGAAAAACTGTGTTAATAGAAAAGTTCTAGTTAGAACCGAACACACTGTGAAGCTGGTCTCACATGTTCAGTGCTGTGTAGATGTCTAAAGCTCATTGTTTAAAACGTTTATTTCAGCAGTGAGTCTGTTTGTGCTTGTAAAAACCGTTTTATCATCAGAATAAATGCAAATACACATAAGTACAGTAAAAATAACAAGAATTTGTACTTGAAAAGTAGTTGTTGATAACTTTTGAGCTAGTTTAAAGAACAAAGTTTGGTTCTAGATATCTCTTGGACACATCCAGCCATCATAAGAATGTACTTAGATAAATTACATAGATTTGATAAGTGTTTTAATCACCAGCACACTTGATTTAACATGCTGAAGTGTTGATAAACTAAACCAGCTATACAGTAATAACTATATGTAATACAAATAATACTGGACTTCTCAGTATTGGAAGCCCAGTACACTGAAATACACTGACAAACACAAAAGCACTGCTTATTGTATTAATATTATTTGTGTTTATTCTAATAGTAGTGTTAATTATATATTTTTTCAGGTGCTTAAAATTTCGCACAGTACCGTAAACAATAAACACAATCATAAAAAGTGAATAAAAATACAGCAGTGCAGTTTCTCATATTTCAGCATAATAATCAAAATAGTAAGTGATCAATGGTAAACGCAGAAGCACATGATAGAATAAGAGCCGAATCAAGGATGACAAACCTTCGTATCCGTTATTGGTGTTCTTGAAAAGTGCTTTGTTTTGATCTAAGAAAGATTTTATATGGTTATTTCATTCATTTGATAGAATTTAATGCTCCTTTTCTTCTACCTCACAGTGAAAATGAAATAAAAACACAGTGTAATATAGATGTTATTTACAGGTTGTCTAAGGTCACTAGTTAGTGTAGAAAGTTACCTCTCACTAGTAGGAAGGTTGCGTTGCTGAAGGTTATGTAGTTGCTCCTCTGAATGCCGCAGTAATAAAGTCCTGAATCAGTGTAATTAACTTCAGTTATACTGAGAGACGTTTTCTCAGAGTTCACAGTCATCATCATTCGGCTTCTCTGGGGAATAAAACTACAGGGGCTTGATGAAGAATACAGTTTGTAATATAGGCAGGTGAGGAGATCAGGAACAGAAGTGTTTGTGTGTTTGAACCAGTATAGACGAGCTGGTTCCTCCAGAGTGTGATTGGACCAGATGGTAACATCATCTCCAGGTTCAGCCACCAGCGTTAACAGGGTCTGAGAGCCCCCAGTCACTGACAGTAAACCTGTAACACACAATACAGACAGCTTTCTACACAACACACAGACTGTCTGGGGTTCTGCAGTTATATGTTATCTTAACTTTCCATGTTTAATTGTGTCCTAATTGAGGTCACTATCACTTACCAGCACTGAGGAGCAGCAGAGCGAGGAATAAAGCACAACCCATCACTCTTATCAGACTAGACTCACGGACGAAATGTAGCTGTGTTCAGTCAAACAGGGCTTCATACATCCAACCAGGAAGCTTGACCCACTGATGGAGAGGTCACTGTCTGCTGCAGTGTTTATCTGCCTGAGACAGAGCAGTTTCCATACCAGACAGTGATGGACTGGTCAGAATGCTCTCTAGTGCTTCTGTAGAAGAAGTTGAGGACAAGTGTTTACAGGCTGCTCCTCTTCAGTCTCCTGAGGAAGTAGAGGAGCTGTTGAGTCGTCTTCACTAAGGAGGACATGTTCAGGGATCAGCCTCAGCATCTTGGCTGGGAGTCTCTTGGAAACAATATTTTTCAGTGTTGGATGATGGGGCTCCACTAGAGGCTATAAAACATGTAAAAAAAAAATCAGACTAGAAATCTGAAGGTAAATGTAAGATACAAAATTAACAGTATGAACACTTTGTTGTGTGTAGATACTCTAATCACTAATCCACTGTAAATGAACTGCTACACATATGAACTGTGAATGAAAAATTCATATAAAGAGCTACAGAAGATCAGCAACACTAAATACATCCTCAATAACACATTCATAGTGAATAACAGTTAGTCAGCTTTAAAAATCTTCTGTTTAGTGCTGAAGCAAAAATATAAATGCAGAAATCTAGATTCATTCTCTCCAGTAGGATGTGTCCCTTACCAGGTCTTCTCCTCCTCTTCAACACAATCTCTCCAGTAATTAAGATGACAAGGAGAAGAACAAGAACGAGCCCGACTGCAATTCCAACACTGAACACATGAATTCCAGTACTGGTGTCCTCAGATCCTCCCCCTGAAAAAGATTAGTGTAAGACTGAACTGCTGACCTTATCAGTGATGTGTTAATACAGAAATACACTGTAATGTTTTATTTCTCTTACCTGTGTGACCCGATGCCCGCAGCACCTGTACCTCCTTCTCCAGTCCACCATGCTGAACAACACAGGTGTAGTTGTGTTTGTTCAGCTCCTCAGGTGAGACAGTCAGAACGCTCCTCTTCTGGAAGGTTCCATCCTGGTTGGGTAGCGTCTCTCTGAGCTCCACGTCCTCATGCAGATCCTCTCCATTCTTCTGCCAGGAGATCATCACTGCTTTGGGGAAGAAACCTGTAGCATGACACACCACTGGAGAAGAAGAGTCCTTCTGGAACAGAGACACCTCAGGAGAGACTGGAGAGAGAGAGAGAGAGAGAGAGAGAGAGTGAGAGATGCATTACCAGTTTATGACAATAATGTAACAAAGCTTAACACAAATGTGTCTCTCACTGCAGTGACAGTGTTGTTTATGGTGTTCATTATCAGAGTATCTGCTGTATTAATGCTCTATTAATGCTGTATTAGTGCTGTATTAATGCTCTATTAATGCTGTATTAGTGCTGTATTAATGCTGTATTAATGCTGTATTAGTGCTGTATTAGTGCTGTATTAGTGCTGGATTAATGCTGTATTAATGCTGAGTCAGTATCAGGTCTGTCAGTGTTGAATGGATGGAAGTTTCTCCTCCATGTTCTGGTGAGTAATCAGTGATTAAATGATCAGCAGGTTTTCAGTGATGAGGGTGAAACAGTGAGACTGAACAGTTACAGTAACAGATCAGATCAGATCACTGTACCTTTCCTCTCCAGACTGGATCTGCAGTAGCCCACATACTTCTCTAACCAATAGAGGCACTCATTCTCCAGGTAGGCCTTAACAAAAGCTGCCTCGTATTGACTCTCCCACCTCCTTTTGGTAATAACAGCTTTAGGATGAGCTGCAGTCCAGGTTTCAGTGTTCAGATCAAAGCTGATGAAGTCTTCTCCATCATAGCCGTACAGCCAGAATCCCCTAATAGTACCATCATCATCCAGCTCACAGCCGTATATCTGCTGCAGTGTGTGAACACCTGCACACACACACACACACACACACACACACAGAGTAATCCATGACAGCAACTCTCTCTAACACACTGTACACTTGTTCTACACACTCCTTGAATCATCAATACACTACAGAACTCCTGAAGAGTGAGATGGAAAAAAAGTTAAAAATTGCATTTCTAAAGTTCCACATTATTTTTACTGCCTGCATAAAACACCAAACACAGCTGACGAAAAATGTTGGTAGCATCACTTTTACTCATTTCACCCACCAAAACATGAAAAAATCTTCCTCAATTTTCTTTTTCTACTACTGAGGTGAGCCAGAAGGGTAACATATGAAAAAGAAATCTGGCTAACACTTAGCGTGTTACACCAGTTTTGACCAGCAGGGACAGGTTTTTTTCCCTTTTACTTTTCAGGAACCAAGCGAAAAAAATATTCTTTGGAGCCAAAATGCTAAGAATTAGCGTGTTGTACCAGATTTGCCCCCAAGTTGTGGAGGACCCGATCTGCCAAAATGAAAAACAAATAAAATTAAAAATAAGTGACTCAGTAAATTAATATATGAATTAGAATTGCACAGAACAATGATGATAAATCTAAAAATAAATAAATATATATAGAAAATAATATATTAATAAATAAAACCTTACATACATCAATATGTCTGCATTTACTTAGATTTCCTCTCCTCACTAATTTTTATATTGATTTATTTATTTTGTTGTCTATATGTTTCTTATTTAATATTCTTAATTTATTTTTATTTCCATAACTATTCATTTCTATATTTATTTATTTCCCTACTTGTTTATTTATTCTGTATTTCCTTGTTCTTATGCTAATGAAGGGCTGTCAATCAATGATGTCACAGCATCTTAATATTCCTATTGATCGATTGATGTCAGATTCTGTAGATTGATTGTTCATGTCTTGCTCTATCAGTGGTCACTAAGACAGTACAGTAAAGGCCTCTTAGAGGCAGCAGACAGCCAGAGATCTGAGAGTCTCGGCTGATCTGGCTGAAAACGCAGGTCCGGATTATTCACTCTTTCCTGTGGAGGCTGTGGAGACAGTTTGGTCCATTTAGCTGATCTGCTAAAACAGAGGTCGACCAGTCGTGTTCAGAACTCTGGAGGAGGCGGTTCACCGTCTTTTTCTGCAAAATCCAGATCACAATCACACATTTGGACGCCCTTCTCACATACGGTCTGTGGAAGCCATCAAGAGTTATTTATCGGCAGGTTTGTCTGATTGTGACATTGCAGCTCTTTATGGGGTGAAAGAGCAGTTTAATCAGCTCTTCTCCTCCTGGGCTCGATTGCTAACCCTGAGCGTGAAAAACACGCTCCCTCATTATCATATGAATGAAGGAATGCAGAAATAAATTAAGTAATAAATAAATAAATAAATAAATACATGAATCAATAAATAAATACATTAATAAATAAATCAATAAATAAATACATTAATAAATAAATCAATAAATAAATACATGGATAAATGAATCAGTAAATAAAGCAAACAATAGTTTAACATATAGATACAGAAAAAAAATTATAAAAATGAACACAGGCATTATTTAAAAAATTAATAATGCAGAAGTAAATAAATTGAGAAATATATAACTGCAGAAAAAGGAAATACATGTATAATTACAATCAAAATAAGCCATATATACTTTATTTTATAAATCTTTACAGCATAAAACTTTGTTTTTTATTATTATTATTTATTGATTAATTTCCTGGGTCATTAATCTTTTTAATTGTATTTATCTTTTATTTTGGCAGAGCGGGTCCCCCATAACAAGGGTGCAGTTTAACTCAGTACACTGTAAATGCAGAGGCGACCACAGAGAAACATTAGCCACCATACGGCCACAGGTGAGGCTCATTCTCCCCTGTGGCTTAGATTTAGCTCCCCAGAGATTTTTTTCACCTGGTTCCTGAAGCGTAAGAGGCTGACATTGTATGCTAGAAATATGTTTTCAACTGTTTTTGGTGTTTTACAGGCAGAAAAAATAAATAATGCTGAACTTAGAAACACATTTTCAATTTTTTTTTTTCATCTTACCCTTCCGGACTCACCTCCAGTCTGGTTGAAGCGCTTCATTAGATTAGCCACATCATGTCTGAAGGCCTCCTGATGATCCTGACTGGTCTCTGTCTCTGTGTTCCAGTAATCTTCACCCTCATTCTTCTCAATCCACTCAGTCTTTGGGATCTTCTTCCTGATGTTACTGTCATAGTAAACAAACTGCTCTCCATCCACCAGACCCACTGAAATGAACTCTGGGAAATGAAGTCCTGGTGTGATTGCAGTATAATGGTACTGCAGAGAGTGTGAGGCTGATAAAAACAAATGTTGACATCACTGCACAGTCAAATTAATTCAGCTTTATTCTCTTCATATGTACATATATATTAGGGGACAAACCAATTATTAGTAAACATGAACACAAAACAGGAGATAATGTGTAATAAAATACTCAGAATATTTGAACATTATAAAAATAAACTATTTCCCTGTGTAGCTAATGTTAGTAGCTGTAACACAAACACAGCCTGTTATTCTAAAAGCATCATAAATCCACCAACATGAACAGAACTGAACAGGCACTCCTGATCAAAATGACTTTACAGGTGCAGGAATGTGATAAAGACTGTTCTACATGCTGCTCTTTCTCTGTGCTGGGTTTTCTATGCACAGTGAGTGACTCCCACTAAATCACGTCAGAGTCAACATCACTGTAATGTTCATTTGGTGTCCCCAGTATAGTCGTTTAAATTTCAGACAAACGTCGTGCAACAATTCATTTTTCTAGTTTTACTTTTGATGACATTATTTGAATATATAAGAATGTTAACCTTTACTTTAAAATACATTTTGTACCATGTTTGATGTGGAGATGGAAAGTCTGACATGACTGAGGTGCTGCATGGTTAAGCTCAATGACTCTTAAGTGGTTTAACTTACTACACAACTTTTTTTCAAAATTTTCTAAAAGATTCAAAGACGTTTGTTAATAATTCAGGCATTTTGCTTATTCATTTTGCCATATTTATAAAATAACAATATCAACCTATTTAAACATGATATAATTGGGATAAATGCCCATTAAAGAAAGGGACCTTTGACATCAGTGACAGCACAGCCTTCATATTGTTCATCTTCAGTGGACTGAATACAGCTGCTGCACGTTCAGTAATTATATAAGAAAAAATCACTTAATATTTCTCACACTGTCTCCATACTTAAGGTCAAGCTTAAGACGTCCACCCTTTCATGGTGAAATAACGAGTTAATTAAAATCACTTTAGAATATCAAAAAATATCTTTGAAACATAACAAGGTCATTTAAACATTTCAACATGTCTGCAACTGTAAGTGAAGCATCATCAAATGCTGACTTTAGCTAAAATTGTCTACCCTGTCATTGTCCACCCAATCGTGCATCTTGTCATGACAGGGTGGACACGTGCATGATAGGGTGGACATATATATGCCTTTTCTTTGTTGCTTTGTTGTTGTTGTTGTTGCTGCTGTTGTTTTTAATAAGTAGTAGTTCCTATTAACTGTTAAGCTACTGATATTAAAGAGGCAGATTGTTTTTTAAAAGGTTTTAATACAGTCACTCATCATACTGTGAAAAGGGCACTTAAATAGTCAGCATGACCAAAACACAGACACACTCAATCACTCACTCACTCAATCACTCACTCACTCACTCACTGACTCACTCAATCACTCACTCACTCACTTACTCACTTACTCACTCACTCACTCACTCGATCACTCTCACTCACTCACTCAGTCACTCACTCATCCACTCACTCACTCACTCACTCACTCAATCACTCACTCAGTCACTCACTCAATCACTCACTCACTCACTCAGTCACTCAATCACTCAATCACTCACTCACTCACTCAATCACTCACTCACTCACTCACTTACTCACTTACTCACTCACTCACTCAGTCACTCTCACTCACTCACTCACTCATCCACTCACTCACTCACTCACTCACTCACTCAATCACTCTCACTCACTCACTCAATCACTCACTCACTCACTCACTCACTCACTCAGTCACTCAATCACTCAATCACTCACTCAGTCACTCACTCAATCACTCATTCACTCACTCAGTCACTTAATCACTCAATCACTCACTCAGTCACTCACTCAGTCACTTAATCACTCAGTCACTTAATCACTCAATCACTCACTCAATCACTCACTCAGTCACTCAATCACTCACTTACTCAATCACTCACTCACTCGATCACTCTCACTCACTCACTCACTCAGTCACTCATCCACTCAATCACTCACTCACTCACTCACTCAATCACTCTCACTCACTCACTCAATCACTCACTCAATCACTCACTCAGTCACTCAATCACTCAATCACTCACTCAATCACTCACTCAGTCACTCAATCACTCAATCACTCACTCAGTCACTCACTCAATCACTCATTCACTCACTCACTCACTCAATCACTCACTCAGTCACTCAATCACTCACTTACTCAATCACTCACTCATTCACTCACTCAATCACTCACTCAGTCATTTACTCAATCACTCACTCACTCAATCACTTTCACTCACTCAAACACTCACTCACTCACTCAATCACTCACTCACTCACTCATTCACTCAATCATTAACTCAATCATTCACTCACTCATTCACTCACTCACTCAATCACTCACTCACTCAAACACTCACTCACTCACTCACTCACTCACTCACTCAATCACTCACTCACTCACTCAATCACTCACTCACTCTCTCAATCAATCAACCACTCACTCACCCAAAGCCAATCCTCACTGTTAAATATAAGCTTAGCTATTCATTGTGGACACACAGTTAATGGAAATACTGCCGTTGTGTAAATATGAACTGTTCTTGCCCATCTCGTCAGGTCCTGGTCCAGTCTGTCATGACCTTGTCCACCTTCATGTTTCATTAAAATAAATCAGTAATTCTTTACAGGTAAACAAACTATTATAATTATTTTTGGAAAATATGCTGTATATAGTTCTACCAAAAAAGTTGGGATGCTGAAATAAGCAGAATATAAAATACAAAATACAAAAATGTGAAATAAATAAATAAATAAATAAATAAATAATAAATAAATAGAATATAATGATGTACAAATCATTTAAACAACACGGTTAATAAATTGAAAATGGTACAATGACAACATCTCAAATGTTCAACCTGAGAAACTTCATTATTTTTGAAAAATCTATACCCATTTTGAATTTGATGCCAGCAACCCAAAAAAGTTGGGACAGGGAAACAAAAGACTGGTAATGTTGTGAAAACACTACTTTACCAGTCTTTTGTTGCCCCTGTTTTATTGTGTAATTTAAAAAAAAAAACACCTAAAAACATCTCCACTAATTGGGTAAACTGTTGACCAGTCTGTAACATGATTGGGTATAAAAAGAGCATCTCAGAGAGCAGCATCTGGTGTCATTAAATCACATGACTGATTTTTAGAACTGAATGTTGTGCAGTGAGCTGCTGGCTTCACACACACTGGCATAACCTCCGTCCTGTTTATTCAAACAGACAACTTTCCCCAAACTCAAGTTTACTATGCATTGTACAACAAAATATGCAAAATATAAATTAAAAACAAAATGAAATGATGTGCAAATGATTTAAACCCTTTATTTAATTTGAAAATGCTTCAAAGACAGCAAATCAAATATTGAAACTGAGAAATGTTAGAATTATTATTTTTTTAAATATATGCCCATTTTGAATTTGATGACAAAAAAGTTGGGACGGGGCAACAAAAAAGTTGTCCAAATTCACATAAATAAAAACTTCGCATTAAAGTATAAAATGAAAACGGATTATTTGCTTAGTTTCATTTCATTTTTGTTTATTTTGAAATAATCAAGAAGAGCTGCTGTTTTCTCACTTCAGGTTAACATGTTAAGCTTTTAAATGGTTTTAATGGTAGACCCATCACAATCAGGAAGATTTAGCTGAAGAGTAAGTGCCATAAAATAATTGTGATTGATATTTTAATTGGCTTTTTTGTTAATTACATGCAGCTATTAAACAACAAGCCTAAAGTGACTAAATGATTAGCTGTCTCACTTCTTAGCTGTAGATACTTACTAACTCTGGCAACATTAACACAAGTCAGTCTGGCAGACAGAGTCTCCGTAACTCTGCCATCCAGTAGTCAGTCTAATAACACAGAGTTTAACTTCAATAATCAGTTGAAATTTCAAACTGATGTATTAATAACATCAAGTTCCTTCCTCACTGAGAGCTCAGTAGCTGAAGGACTGTGTAGAGGAAGTGGTCAGGGTTGCCAGATAACTTTAAATTCCCCTACTAAAGCATTAACAACATTTTGGGCAGAAGGAAAATATATGCAACAAGATTTCTTTCTTTACTGTAATCATATCATTCAAAGCAATTAATTTAAATGTTAAGATGTTTAAGAAGCATTTTAACTGGATCTAATTCAGTGTATATAAAAGAACGATTGATTAATCATGTCACACTCTTTACATCATGGAGTTTAAAAATGTGTGATCTGCTTTACTATGGCAACCCCTTACAAAAACCTCTGTCCAATCACACTTAGAGGAACTTAGCAGCATAGTTTCTTACTAAGATAAGTGAATTCTCCACATTGATCACAGAACTGACAGTAGACCAGAGGTGTGAGCAGCTGGTTTCCTGTCATACACTCATCTCAGCACAACCTCCCCCACCACACTGGTGTTACTGCTGCACTGACAGCCAGATCAAAGGGTTGTGAAAGACATAGTAAAATAATAGTTCATTAACTGCCCATGGAAATTAAACATTTTGTTAAAAAATAAGCCTTTTTCTGTTAAGAGATTTATAATTGAGCTTATAGAAAAAAAAGTGCTATTACTGGAAAAATGTGCCCAAATTTTTGTCAACACATCTGTATATTATACCCTGGATAGCCTGTGGTGTTTTTGTCCATCCTCAGCAGGATCTGAAATAATGCTTTGACTGTCAGACTCAGACCCACAGCAGCACCTTCTGCTTGAACATAATGTTGATTTACTGCTTTACATGATAGACAGACTTCCTGTTTACTCTAGTTCTACAACACAATCTGATGTGTTATTTGTAAGATGAAACACTTTTTCCCAGTCTGAATATTTCAGCACAGATTTAAGATTCCAACTCGACTTATGAAACAATAATATAGTTTAATCATGTGATAAACTACATGAATGAGCATCATCATCAAACACCACACGATGCAATTTCACATAGAAGAAGTTCGTCACGACATCACAGACTGACCGCATATTTAAGTACAAGATCATTTCTGACTCAGATCTGACTCACCTGATGACGCAAGATTAACATTAACCACCAGAAACAGCCAGAAAAACTTCTCCATTTCACTGCAGACCTGCGCCTCTTTGGGTGTATTGCAACATTCAATATCTACTCAGACAGTTCTTTCTCGGACACCGAGAACACGGTAGTAAATGAGGAAGTGACTAAGGTTGCCAGATTTTAAGACTTGTTATGCAAGTTAAGACTGTTTTAAGTCCTGTTTAATCCCTTTTTATAATAATTTCTCTTAAAGATCAAGAGAACATTCAGAATTGAAGTTCAGAACTGAAAGTGGAGCAGTGCAGTGAGCGGCTCCACCTTCAACGCATTATGAAATAAGTCAAATCTATTCCTTATCGCTCATTTGTAACTGTTTAAACCTTTGTATAATTTAGAACTCCAACCAATATTAAAAGAGTAACCAACTGCTTGACTGTCATAACTCCCAAAAAGAGGTTTCCTACAGGGCCAGCCACACCGAACACAAATATAGAAATACAAGTTCAACTGGGGGGAAACAGTTTTCGAGAAGATTCGAGAAGATTTATTACCCTTCTTTAATAAATTAACAAGAAAGAAAAGAACATTAAAAGCAAACAAACAATAAAAGAAACAATAAAAAAGCCTTAAAGTCCAGGAGCGGTCTGAACGGTGCAGGTGGCAGTTACAAGCAGTCCTTCACGGTCCACAGCGTGGGTGCGAACACCTGCCCGGAACAAGGAAAAACACTGGCAGTAACAGAGCAGAGTTCTCAACGCTAAAACATCGTTTACAGCACAACATCGGCGGCTTGATCGATAAGAAACTGGCCCAGGATTGATTCTTCACTGTCACTACGCACCACTGCATTCAGAGACTGTAGAAGAGGCTGCAGATACTCACGCCTGTCCAGGTAGCGATCGCGACCGCCACCCGGAGCTATAGCAACGCGCCAGTGGTGTGTGGCGCTGCTGTCGTCACCGCACGCTGGGGCTTTCGCCGAGGCTCTCGCGGTGCCACGTTTAACCGTTTTCTCTCTCTCTCTCTCTCCCTCCCTCCCTCTCTCCCTCTCTTCCTCTCTCTCCCTCCCTCCCTCTCTCCCTCTCTTCCTCTCTCTCCCTCCCTCTCTCTCTTCCTCTCCCTCCCTCTCTCTCCCTCCCTCCCTCTCGCGTGGCAGCTCTCCACTTCGTCCACGTGCTCTCCACGCCGCAGCCCCTTTAGCCACCCGCTTCCCGCTCTTCTCGCTGCACCTTGCTCTCCTTTACACAATTCATACCCAACTGGCCAAATACGCCTCTCCTCTGGACTGAAAAACAGCAACAAGGGCATTGGTGCATTATTATGTGCATCATTTCAAAGAGATGTTATTTTAGTTCTTTGTATTCTATAATACATTTGTGAAAGATCTGAACTGGAAGAAACTCTGGACTTTACCTCATATATTTCTGGTGACTAATCAAAAAAAAAAGAAGGCTTCATTTAAATTATTACACAGACACCCAACAGATCATTATTTGACTAAGTTTGAGAAAGATCTTAATCCAAACTGCTTCTTTTGTGATGTGCACCCTGATTTTCACTGTGAATGAGTAAAAATGTTTTGGAAAGACTTGGCCAGACTTCATTGATCATATTGATGCTGATTTTTCTCAGTACCTGGAAAATGTTTTGTTTGGTTGTAATAAAGTTTATGAAGATAAAGTAAAACAATATTATATTATTAACAGATGGACTTGTTTGCAGCGTAAAGCCCAGCAAATCGAATGTTACGGTAATGAATGCTTAACTTAAATTTCAGAAAGCAGATTCAGTCATATGAGTAACACTAATTAATAGTTTTCTTGAGTCCAACATGGTGAAGCTCCACTGCTGCACGCTGATGTTGCCATGGGAAAATCCTTTAGCTTTCACTTCTTGTCAGTGTAAGTTCTTTGATGGTCATTTCAACTGACTACCAATTTTTTAATAACTATTCCCTAATCTGTGCAGGGCACACAATCCTCTGTCTCATTTGAGTGGACTCTACCCATGATGATGGACAAAGGGGTTTCAGAGGTGTGTAACCTCATATTAATACTCTAGAGAAACAGGAGATTGTGCTAGATGACAGTGGAATACCAGGAGTAATAAAAAGGCAGATTTCTTCAGTTTTATTTAAAATATTCTTTAGGAATGTCAGTATTTTAGCCCCACATGTGAAAGATTTAAATAACACTCTTGTAGGAATGTTTTTGTATTATTATAAATGGTCAGCAATTTCTCTGAACATTGAGGAACGTTTGAAGATTTTATGTATTCTTTATTTTGAGGGGTGCTAATAATTCTGGAGTTGACTGTATGAATGGTAAAATGTCTTACAGTTGTACTCATTGCTTCCTGAAACAGAATTCACATCTTCAGAACAAAACATTTTGTTCATAAACAAGATTTCATAAGATTCATAACACTCAGCAGTAACAGCGCAGTGTCACACAAAATGTCCAGCATGATAAATAAGAGCTACTCATAAAGTCACTGTGAGCTCATACATATTAAAGAACCAAGCAAAGCTCCAGTTCGTGGCTAAATGGGACACAGTGAAATAAATGAAAACAAAGAAAACCAAAATTCTCAGAAACAGAGCTACATATTTGAAGAAGTGCTGTATGTAACAGTAAACTGTTTCTAAACATATTTAACTTTTAATCAAGAAACAAAGTTTCTTTATCAGAAAACACTATTGATATTACATAAATTACATGCATATAAAAATCAAATTCTAACATCTTTAAATTCAACTTTTAATTGTGGGAATTATGTTTTAGCATGTAAAATTTCCTTTGTCATTGGTACGAATTCAAGTGTGTTTCAAATTCATTATAATCGCATTAGCAATTTTTGCTAACATGAATTAAAGTTTTACATGTGGTTACTATGGGAAGCCATTTTAGGTTTTATTCCTTATTTTTCCTGATCTCAGGAATTCAGTTTACACATGCGGAAATTAAAATTCGACTACTAAATGTTTAATTCTTGATCTCAGGAATTCAGTTTATGTGTATTTTTCACTTGTAAAGGATTAAAGGCTAAAACTGCTGGCAATAAAGTCAATTCAAAGATCTTAACATTTCAGATTACTCTTATTTGGATTGCAACTTCTAAACCTACTTTCCACACTTAGGAAGGGATTCACCATTGAATCTGTGTCAGGAAGAAGAGGCTGTTTTAAACAAAGTGACACTTAAATCAGCTGATCTGAAATCTGCTGCTGTCTTTTTTCTACAGCAGTTAGAAGCATTACCATAATGCTCCATTCAAACTATGTCTTTAATATATGTAAACAGCGTGTGTGTGTGTGTGTGTGTGTGTGTGTGTGTATAATGTGTTGATTACCTGCATGTGTAATCCCACATGTTTTTGGAAACATTGTGGAAAATATTGTGGTGGCTGCCGCTTGCTCCATGTGAGAGAAGGGGCTTTTGGGGTGTGGTATGCAAAGCTGCTGAAACTAGAAATGAACATCCAGGAAAAGTCCAGAGCTATTATTGGGATAGAGCCTACGAGTCACTGTTAAATTCTATTGGTTCGTATACATTCTTCTTTGACATTTGCTGAGCATTTTACAAAATAACATCAGCACACATGATCCATGATGTGCCTCGTCAAGAGTTAATCTGTGGAACTGCTTGTCTTCTTGATGTGTTTGAGAAGATCAGCTGTGTTGTGTGGAGGCAGGGCTGGTACACAGTTCTATAGTTCTGTATTGAACTTTGTTCCTTCATAGTTTTGATGTCTTCAGTATTAATGTACAATGTAGAAAATGATAAACATAAAGAAAAAACACTGAATGAAAGGTGTGTCTTAACTTTTGACTATAAAAATACTTTTAAATCATCACTTTTAGTGAGCTCTTGACTTCTACTTATAACAATTATGAATCATTAAATAACAGAATAATTAAAGGTTACAAAGCCAGATAACACTGTGATTTGAGCTGCTCAGAAGGCAAAAGTGCGTGTCTCAGATCTTGTCGCAGCTTGTCTTCATCAGCCAGAGACAATGGTCTGGTAAATGATGTTATCTCTAAGGACAAACACTGTTTATCCAATAAATTGAGAATTAAAACAGTGCAAACCTTTTTTTAACGGTACAAATGGAGCACAAATGAATGAGACCATTTTTGAGAGATTTGGCTGCTGATGCTCTCTGAGTGACATCACTTATTAAAAAGTTATTCTTTAGCTTATGACTTACAATAAAACAGCACAAATGTTTAACAGCACAAACACAGTACAAATAAAAGATTTAGACGGTGATGGAGGGCTAAGTGATGTCACGTGAAATAAAATATAATATTTTTCAAGAAGGGTTGCAGCACAAGCGATGATTTGCAGGCACAAACCAGATCCAACACTGCCCAAAAGAACAGCAGTGTTTTTATTCAGTTTCTGATCATGTGGGGTGGCAGCTTCACAGAGGTGATTTTACTGCAGTAGTTTTAGTTTTCATCCTATTTTTCAATTTACATTTGATTTTAAGAAGAATTCAATTTGGAGATGACATTTATACTAGTAAACATTCATTTCTTACAAGTAAAAACTGAATTTTTACTCATCAAAATGAAATATTTGTGAATTGAATTTTAATGTTCACGTGTAAAATCTTTAATTAGTTTTATTTGTAAATTTGAAAGATATTTCCTTTAATTTTTTAATGTTACATGTTTAATTGTTACTCTGATGTTAGAACAGTTAATAGGAAATAGGATAAAGAAAAGAAATGTCAAATGTCAAACATAAAATGTGTATTATAGTTTTTGTAAGATCACATTTCAGGAGCTCCTGTTGGCTTTCTGAATGGGATTGGTATAAACAACTACTTAAATAATGAATTGTGGGTTAAATTTGAAGTTAAATATTTTAATATAGCTTCACTTTTCATATCAGTCATTTTGCAATTTTATTTCATGCATTGATTTTAGTACAGAAATCAACAAAAGATTAAGAAGTTATAGATTATTAAAAACCAAAAAAGGAATGAATAAATATAATGAAATAAATAAAAACAGTGATATATTTATTAAAAAAGATCACATACTACACAGTGTTCTGGTCTATTTCAGGTCAGTCTACAGGTCAGCATTCCTTACCATGCTATAGCCATAATACTGACAAGAAGTAAATCTGTCATTGAAATAAAGAGCAAAACAGCCACAT